TAAGCTAAAACTTTAATACATCCTTTGAATTTCTCTTTCTCTCTTGTATCTGGTTTAGGCAGTCATTTCTCTATAGATTGAGTGACTAAGATAGGCCTATGAGGAAGTATCATTTAGATCTTAGCTTAAATGTCAAGAGGGAGCTGGTTTTTTGAAGACTGAGAAAGCACATTTTGCTATGGCCTTCCATTTGATTTTCTTCCATGTCTTTAATCTGGTGTTATATTTTCAAAACAAATGTGCAGAAACAACCCAGGTGTGTATGGGAACTTGGTATATAAAAAAGTTCCTAGTCAGTTGGAAAAAGATGGCTAAGGAGTAAATTATGCTGGTTATCCATCTGGCAAAAAAGTTTTTTCCTGCCATAGATAGATAGATAGATATATATATATATATATATATTTAGATATATGTATTGGGGCCAATGAATTTTTTCTGTAGAGGGTCAGAAAGTAAATACTGTATTTCAGGCTTTGCAGGGCTTATCTGTTATACTCTATCCTTGTAGCCATAGACACATAAACACATGGGCATGACTGTTGTTGATTTATTTGTAAAAGTCTGTTGATAAGCTAGATTTGGTCCACAGGCTGTATTTTACAATCTCTGATAATACAGAAATAAATCCAATGTAGATAAGACCACAAAATTTGAAAAAGCAAATCTTAAACCATATGGAACACACAGAAAGGAAGAAAATCCTATGTGGGGGTAGGAGAGTGTGTGTGGGTGTGTACACATAAATATAAAATATACATATAAACATGAGAAAACCTATATAATGTACATTTGATTACATTAAAATTAAAACTTCTGTATTAATAAAATGTCTAAGATATTTGTAATACAAGCACCAAAGGATAAGTGTACAAATTATTTATGGAGTTTCTGTATTAAATAAAAGAATCTGAAGGAAAAGATCATGAAAGAGAAAACCTAAATAGTCAATAAATATGAAAGGATGCTTAATATCAGAGGAAACAAAAATTAATTTAAAATGTCAAGTAACACTTTAAACTGTTGGCAAAAATTTAAAATGTCAAGGATGAGAATTTGAAGCATGGCTTCTGTATGAATTGGTGCAACTGTTCTCATCAAAGATGCACCTTGTGGGCCTGGGGATTTAGCTCAGTGGTGCTGCTGCCTGCCTCACAAGCACAAGGCCCCGAGTTCGATTCCTGGTACCCCCCCCAAAAAAAGCACCTTGTGCTGCTTGCCTTGCAAGTGCAAGGACCCAAGTTCCATCCCACGTACCAAAAAAAAAAAAGATGCACCTTGTTATCTGGTGATTTCATTACTAAGGATTTATCCTAGATAAATTCTTGCATATATTATAGGAAGTATGTACAGCACATCAATGTAAGTGAGAATTGGGAAATAAAGTAAATGTTTATTGATAGGGAAATGGGTGAAGATTCCTTTATATTTGTAAAGTAATTAAATAGATTAAAATGACTAAAACTATGTGAATGACCCAGAATTGTATGTACAGTATAAATCAGATAATGTAGTTTTGTAGCTTTTTTATCTTTTGTACTATGGATTGATTCCAGAATCTCAGGCATGCTAGGTAAGTACTATATCATTGAGCTGTACCTTCAATCCCTTATTTGTGAAATTTTATTTTTTTTAAGAGTAGGTAGAATTTATTGAGAGAAAGCTTCTAAGAGAGAAAGAAAGGGGATGGGAAAGTGGGTTGCCTCCCCCATTTGTGTAATTTTATGTATTTTTTGGTACCAGGGTTCGAATCCATTTGTGTAATTTTAAAAGATGTGTACAATAATATCATAGTTTTTTTTTTTTAACATTCCTTATGGTAATAGTCTTAAAACCCTTATGGCAGGAAAACATTTATGTTAGAACTTACCTTTGGGAAGAGAGGAAGAGCAATAGGGTCAGATGGTAATTCATAGAAACTTTAATCTACATTTATAAAAAGAAAGAGGAAATAAAGCAAAATGCTAGTATTGATTGGTAAGTTGTATGTGCAATTCTGTGTATGAATTGATAACAAGAAGAAGAGCTTATTGATAGAATGTTTTGAGGGTAGCAAAAGTAGAGCTGCAAAGTTATATTTTGATGGTAGAATCAGTTCTTTTTTTGGGGGGTGTTACTGGGGATTGAACTCGGGACCTCGTGTTTGCAAGGTAGGTGGAGGAACCACTGAGCTAAATCCCTGGCCCTGCTTGTTCTTAGAACTAGTTTGGATGTGGCATGTAAGAGAGAGACAGTATTAAGGATGAATTCCAGACTTCAGGCCTGTCTGGCAGCTGATGGTGTCAGTTAAAAAGAAGATGAAGACAGAGGTAAAAGGGGGTTTCGAGAAAAGAAGATACATTTCCAGGCAGGTATATGGCTAGCTATGTGAATCTGAGATTTAAAAAAGATTTAGATGAGGATATAAATTTAAGAGTTTACAGCTATTCTATGTTATTGAAAGCCTTAAAATTGGGGAACCTTGATTGGTGAATATATGTTGTATATATCGAAATATGTCCAACTACTGTATCAGTGAAATTTAAAAAGATTAGGGAAGATCAGTCACAAAGTACACATGTATATGTAGTGAAAAGAGACAACTACCCTTTTCCTGAAAAACTCAGTGGTTGAAAAAACAGAGGTCAGCAATTGGGTAAGTTGAGAAGGAGCAGCTAGGAAACCAAGAGGAGAGTGGAGTGTCGTGAAGACAAAATAGGTTAATGTTTCAAGTGAGAGATGTGGTTGCTTGGCAAATACTGCTGAGAGGGATACAGATAACAGTCAGTCGCTGTATCACATTTTCTTATTTTATCTTCCTGACAACAGTGATCAGTACCTGAGGTGATCTTGCTTATTTTTTCCATGAGATGATCTCACTTATGTTCTCCACACCTTTGAATGTAGAACTCTTCCCCCCCCCCCGTACTGGGGAATAAGCCTAGGGCCTTTGCACTGAGCTGAGACCCCAGCCCTTTTTATTTTTTAATTTTGAGATAGGGTCTTATTAAGTCACTGAATTCCTTAGGTTGGGCTCAAACTTGGAATTTCCTACCTCAGCCTTTCAAAGTGCTGGGATTGAAGGCTAAATGTAGACTTGAAGCAGGATTGCTGCCTTTTTTTTTTGAGACAGGGTCTCACTATGTAGTTGAGACTGACCTGGAACTCACTTTGTAGCTCAGGCTGGTCTCAAATTCACAACAATCCTCTGCCTCAGCCTCCCAAGTATTGGGATTACAGGCTTGCGCCACCATGCCCGGCTTGCCTTTTTTTTTTTTTTTTTTTTTTTTTTAAATTCATTAATTTTATTGGTACATTTTAGGTATACAGTATGCTGACATTCATTACTGGGAGTTTGTACCTTTGCATAATATATCTTGGTTATTTTTTTCCCAGCCCTTTACCCTCTGATCAACCCCCTCCACCTCTCCCTCCCTATTTACAAGGCTTTGTTTCTGTTTTTTCTTTTTCTCATGTTTATTCCTTTCCCCTACTCTTCCCACTTTCCTTTCCCCTTTGGACCTTTTCTTCCTATTTCATATTACCTATTTTACATTTTGATCCTTATTTACATTTTCAGTTTCTCATACCAGAGGAACTATTTGGTATTGATTGCTGCCTTTTTTTTTTTTTTTTTTTTTTTTTTTTTTTTTTTTTGGTACTAGGGATCAAACTCAAGTCCTTGTGCTTGTGAGGCAGGTGCCGGAACCACTGAGCTAAATCCCCGGCCCACATTTTCTTTTTTTTTTTTTCTGGATTGCTGCCTTTTCTGCCAGACGTCTTGGGTCTCTTTGGTACATGTGAGGCACTCAGAGATGGTTGGTGGATAGACTTGACTTCAACTTTTAATGTTTAAGAGCACAAGTAGATGCACATGTTTGAGGGTTTCTTTCTTTTTTGTTTTTTTTTTTTGTTTTTAGAGACAGGGACTCACTATGTAGTTCAGACTGATCTGGAACTCACTATGTAGCCCAGGCTGGTCTCGAATTCACAGCGATCCTCCTGCCTCAACCTCCTGAGTGCTGGGATTACAGGCGTGTGCCACCACGCCCGGCTTGAAGATTTATTTCAATAAGCTTTTAGTACATATGCTGCTGAAATTAGCTCAGTTTCAATAAGCTTTTCTTTTTCTTTTTGTTTTTGGTACTGATAATTGAACTCGGGACTTTGTGCTTGCAAGGCAGGTGGCTGAACCACTGAACTAAATCCCTGACCGAAATTTCAAGAAACTTTTTTTGGTACCAGGGATCAAACTCTGGCCTTTACATTTGCGAGGCAGGCGGCAGAAGTACCGAGCCAAATCCCCAGCCCTTCAATGAGCTTTTGATAATACAGTTTACTGTTGGAAGAAAAACAAGAAAAGTAAAGAGGGTTAAAAATAGTCTTCTGACGGATCCTGTAATAGAGTTCACACTTGGTTTAAGCTGTGATGTATCTTCCTTTCCAGGATGTTTTGTTAGCTTATCTGCAATATAATTTTCACTATTTTGTATAGTATAGGAAAGATTATATGATCAGTTTTGAGAACTTGTTAGACTTTGAGTGTTAGAAATTTAGAATGTAATTTTAAATGTTTGTATTTGATAGCTGTGAGGGAAATACAAAGAAGTAGGATATGCCACCAGTGAAATCTTTTTCTTTTCATGATGCTTGTAGTAGCCAAGTATAGTGGATGGCTTGTGGTAATATTAGTTAACATGTATCTTAAATTTACTGTACTAGTTACTCTCCAGATGCCTTTTACGAGTATATATTGTTTCATGAGTATAAGGTTTTACTATTGACCTAATTTTATTAATCAAGGAAATTTAAACCCAGAAGTAACTTTTCCACAAAACATGGCTAATAAGGGATAAAGGCAGAATTTAAACACAGATGTTGTCGCCATATTTTCCTAAAAAAATTTTTTGGACTGCTATTCAGTGGTTACTTCCTTAGGAAAATTTCTGACAACTGCCTGTCTCTGTCCCCATCCAAGATACTCCTTTATTCTGGAAATTTGAATACTTATTAGAATAAACCTCTTTTTTACAGTATGTGAAAGGATCTCTTTGGCTGCAAAGGTTGGTCATGATACCCTTTTGTCTTGTAGTGAAAGGCAAAGAAGAAGAGAAGACCTCAGATGTCAAGTCCAATAAAGGTGAGTTTAGCTCACATTTCATTGTATTCAAAAGTTATGAGGGCCAGGGATATACCTCAGTGGCCCTGAGCCTGCCAAGCAAGCTCAAGGTCCTGAGTTTGATCCCTAGTACTGGCAGAAAAAGTAATGAGGTGGATGTGCACACCTTTAATCCCCAGTACTCAAGAGGATCATCACAAGTTCCAGGCAAGCCTGGACTACATAATGAGTTCAAGGCCAGCCTGAACTACAGAGGGAGACTCTGTCTCAAAAAATTAAAAAAAGAAAAAAAAGTGCTTAGCATTTATAAGCTCTTTAATCCTGTTATCTGCTGTTTTATTTTATAATTATTTATGATTTATTTATGATTTGTCTTCAACCTGTATATCCTTTAACAGCTAAAACATAATAGACTTTTTCTGAACGCTAATTGGCTGAACTAGTGATTACAGTGAATCAGTGCCCTCATCATTGATCATATATTTGATTGCTCTCTAAAAGTGATTAGTGGACTTTATTCAGTAAAGCAAAAATGAAGGCTACTTAGCTGAGCAGTCTGACAACTGAGATAAAGTGTTCCTATAAGGCTGGGTTTTGTGTTTATTCAGAAATGTGGATGATTGTAGTTTTCATTTATTACTTTGGATACATGGCTTTAATTTAAAATTTGTTCATAGCTTTTTGTTGAAATCAATACATTGTATTTATTTATTTATTTATTTATTTATTTATTTATTTATTTATTTATTTGGAGACAGGGTCTCACTATGTAGTGGAACTCACTGTGTAACCCAGGCTGGTCTTGAACTCATAGTGATCCTTCTGCCTCAGCCTCCCAAGTGCTGGGATTATAGCATGGCTACATTGTCCTTTTTTTTTGTTTTGTTTTTTGAGACAGGCTCTCACTATGTAGTTGAGATTGATCTGGAACTCGCTATGTAGCCCAGGCTGGTCTCCAACTCACAGTGATCCTCCTGCCTCAGCCTCCTGAGTGCTGGGATCACAGGTGTGAGCCACCATGCCTGGCTCCACATTGTCCTTATTTATAGATTAGAGGGTACTATGTTTAGATTGTAATCTCTGTTTTTCTCGTTTGTTTGTTTTTTGAGACAGGTCCTGGCTGTGTAAGTGATGGGATCACAGGTGTGTGCCACCACAGCTGGCTCTGCTGTGTTTTTGACTCATGTCCAGACTGTAGAGATTGGAATGGGAAAATTATAATGGAACTACTTATAAATTTCATAAATACAACTTTTTAAAATATAAAATCTGTGGATTGCTATTTAGATTTTTCTTTCCAATGTTTATGTTATATGGCTAGCATTATTTATATGTTCAATTTGTCAGAGATTATGATATTACGAGACTTGCAAAATTAGAGAAAAAGATTACCTTAAAATCTTGTCTATTTTTTTTGAGTACCGGGGATTGAACTCGGGTCCTTGCGCTTGCAAGGCAGGCCACCGAACCGCTGAGCTAAATCCCCGGCCTTGTCTACTTATTTCTGATAATGTAAAACCAGCTGGATTTCACATTAATTCACACTACCTTATTTACACCAAATTTGACTGGCATTGATAAAGGGTGAAAGCCCGTAGCAAGCAGAAGCTTGTGAAGATCAGGTCTTATTACAGTAGAAGGAAGGAACCTTGATATCTTAGAATAACTATATTTTCTAAAATTTGCCATTAACAATGTAACCTTGAGAGTCATGTAATTGTCTTCAGATTCTTCATTTGTAGAATGAAGGGATTGGCCTAGCAAATTTCTGAATCTCTAAATTTAAGGCCAGTGAAACCCTATCTCAAAAAATTTTTTTCTTGCTAAAAAATTCCATGTATACTGTCTTGATCTCTGGTTAGCAGTTACTGGCTTAACCTTAAGAAAATATAGAAGCAGTACAAGATATAGCTCCTCAAGAATTTTGTAGACTGATTACAAAGACAGGCTTAGTCACAGAATAGTAGCAAATCAAGCAAAATAATAATGGCTATTATAGATTACCTCTTCTATTCTAGATATTAACAAAAACTGATAATAGTGAAAAGAAAAAAAGACTTGGATTCTGCCCCTATTGAACTTACAGATTGGTAGTAGAGAGGAAGATTAATTAATTCCACAGCCGGTTTGGGCTGGATTGATAGTGATAGGAATAAAGAGATCTAGACAGATTAGGGAAAAAATTAGGAGTGAAAATGAATAGAGCTTTACTGAATGTAACTGTACTGTATCCCTAAAATGTACCAATAAACTCAATTAAAAAAGAAAAAAAAGTTGGGCGTGGTGGCGCAGGCCTGTAATCCCAGCACTCGGGAGGCTGAGGCAGGAGGATCGCTATGAGTTCGAGACCAGCCTGGGCTGCATAGTAAGTTCCAGGGCAGTCTCAACTACATAGTGAGACCCTGTCTCAAAAAACAAAAAACAAAACAAAACAACAACAACAAAAAAAATGAGTAGAGCTTTGTTATTGATAAAATATGTGAGGGAAAAGGGAGATTTAAGATTGGTGGCTACCATTCTGGCTTGCTTAACAGAACCAAACTGGGAAAGTATATATTCAGTTTAAGTATGTTGAATGGGAAGGGCTTTTAAGTCATACATTTACGTGTTACACATACAATAATTTTTTTTTTTTGGCAAGGCAGGCGGTGGAACCACTGAGCTAAATCCCTGGCCCTACATACAGTGATTTTAAGGGTCTGAGTTTTTAATTAAAGGAAGAGATTGTAGCAGCCCTAGATTGAAATCTTGCTCGAAGGAATGACTCTTTATTGCTCATAAGGAAAATATTTAGTTTTTTTGGGGGGTGGGTATGGGGCATCAAATCCAGGGCCTCACACATGCTAACTAGGCAAGTGCTCTCATACTGAGCTATACCCCACACACCTTATTTAACTCTTTTGCAATTGCTTTTTTTCCTTTCCAAAATGAAGAATGTGAGTTGTGAAGGATTATTGTGAAAGAGAAATGACATAATGTCTCCCCCCCAAAGAAAATGCATACAGAGAAACCAGTATAATACCTGGTATATATAGAAGGTTCTCTATTGGTAGCTTTTATTATCTAATTTTAACATAGTAGTTGAATTAGGCAAATTAAATCAAGTATCAAATCAAGTATTGTGAGGAGTTCAATGAAGTTGAGATTAGCAAATGATTTATGAAGTTTAGGGGGGATTTCATGGAAATGAAATTTACCCAGCATAAAAGTTGAAGTATAAGATGTGTCTTAGTTACTTTTGCATCACTGAGAAACAATACCTGACACCCACAAGTTAAAGGAGAAAAGGTTCATTTTTATAGCTTGTAGATGTTTCAGTCCATGTCAGCTGGCTCCAAGGCATGGCAGCATGACAGTGCTATACCAGAGGAGGAACAGCTCATAGCATGGGGAACCAGAGAGAGATGAAGGAAGAGGGAGGGAGGGATACCCTTTCAGGTCATGCTCCCAGAGACCCTCTTCCTCTTGCATCACATGTAATTACAAATTTGTCAGTGGGCACACCCCTATGATCCAGTCACCTCCCCAAATTCCCACCTATGAACACATGAGACTTTGGAGGACATCTAGATATAAACCATTAAAAGATGGATTTGAATGAAAGAGAAGATTCTTTCTCTTCTTACCACTATAGCCTTTTATTTCTTTGAGTACACAGAATCTGCCAAAAAAATGTATACACCAGGAAAGGAAAAACTTGTATAATTATTTTAATACTGAATTTATTGAGATATAATGAGATTAATGCAAGTTACCTTTGGCCTCTACAATTACAAGAGCTGCTCCAAGTGATGGCCGTTAGCATTCATTAATACGGAGAACTGCTTGGGTAATCTTGGTCCTTGAGATTGCTGCATATGCATTTTCAGTTTCTTCTCTAAGGGCAGTGTAGTGGATTTTCTGCAATATATGACATCCTCTAGGCTCCCCCAAATGAGGGTAATACCATCTGTTGAAAAAACATCATACTATTTTTCTTTTCCTGAAGTATGTATACAGTGGCAGACTTGTATATTGGGCAGAGAGGCCTTCAGACAAGTAAAGGAAAGTTTTTACAGAAAGATTAAGATAATATTGAGAATTGTAAAGACTAGAAAGGAAAGTTGAAACAGACACAAAGTGGCCATTATAGGCCTTTGAACAGAATACTGATGTTACTGTATGGTGTATATGAAAGGTTAGTCTGGAAGGGTTATGTGGGATCAAGGCCTTGCAAGTTCTTTTGTAATATAAAAGGACCTCTCTACTAAGGGTGTGGTGTTGAAAATAAACATCTTGAAGAAAATGACAACATATTTTGGCAAGTAACAGACAAGAGTGGGACCACAAGGTTAAAATTTGGAGAGTGGTGAAGTGGACAAAGGGAAAGTAGAAAGGGAAATTAGAACACGGAACATTTGGGATATTTGAATAAGTTGGACTCAAGATGGCAAAGTCAAATTGGGAATGACTAGTAAATAGAGACACAATGCTTGAACCCAGGTTAAAGGGCAGGTCTGAGGTACAGGTCAGGTGTTCTCTGTTTCACAGAGGCATGGCCTAGGAGTTGTTGCTAAGAGTGCATTGAGGCTTGAGTAGCTCCTCTTGAATCAGCAGAGTTAATTTGGTTTTACCTATTTTGCAGACAGATCATGTCCTGTATATTATTGTTTATTGAGGGGAGTGTATGAGAAAAGGAGTTTACAGCTTAAGAAAAAACTTTTGAAAACTATTGTTTTAGCAATAAATGAAGGTTTGTGAATAAATGTGCTTTCTATTAGAAAGAATCAACAGCCTTAGGAAGAGGAATCAAAGTCCATACCTGACACAGTAGGCATTTAATGTAAAAGAAGGAGAAAGATAAACAGAGGAGGAAATTAGAGAGATCAACTAAGATAGGCTAACAAGAAGGAACAGGTATGTGAGGTACTCATTCTAACACGAGGGAGGAGAGAAGAGCCTTGTACAAATGAATTAATAGAATTTTACACATTATCATAGACATTGAGTTAAACACAGGAGGTGTGTCCTGGTCTTCAGGGAGGTAGATGATTTTGTTGCAGTCTATGGACCTCTCTACATCTCAGCTGCTAAAGATCCTATCCAGTAGGGCACACTAGCTTGAGGTCATGAGTGGCTGTCGAGGGTGCATCATTGGGAGGCTAACTCTAGCAGCGAGGCAGAAAGATGTGGCAAGATTCTTCAAGGGTTATGGACTGATTGGGGATATTGGGGTTTTGTTTTGTGGTTTTTAATGTACCTATTGTGTTGTGAAACCACATGCTTGAAGCCCCAGTAAGCATCTTAAGTTCTATTTTAGGAATTAGAGGATCTGAGGAATGCGGATGATGGTGTGTATAAACTTGATGTAAAGGATCTTTGTAGTGAAAGGGTTACTATTGAACATGCTAGGGCTCAGTCTCGAGGAAGAGGTAGAGAACGACACTCTGATCATTTTAGTAGTTGCAGACCTTGAAATGATAGACAAAGTGCTCTACCTATAAGAACAGAAAATTGACTTATAGTTTAGAATTTATCCTCCAGAATCATCTGGCAGGCTCTCATAGATTTCTTGAGTCAAGCTGGGGAAGTAACCGTGGTGGATGCACATCAACCTAAGTTGAATAAAGGTGTGAATTGAGTTGCCTCTTAGGGTGACTTAAAGAATGCTATTGAAAAAATTTCTAGAAAAGAAATAAATGGGAGAAAAGTCAAATTATTTAAAGGCAGCAAAAGGCACAGGTGTCAAGAAGCAGGTCTCAATTACAGACCAGCAGTTCTTTTAGGACTCTTAGCCAATCTCATTCCCATAGTTTCAAGTCTTACAGCCAGCCAAGAAGCTGGAACAGGAGCAAGTCCTCTTCCGTTAGTAGGTCTCCTGTGCCTGAAAAGAGCCAGGTCTCAGGCACCTGAGGATCACCATAGGTCCTGGTCCAGGTCCGGGTCCAGATCAGTTGACAGTGGCGATTAAACAATAAATAACTTGCCCTAGAGGCCTTTTAAAAAAACAAAAAAAAAAAATTCCCAAACTATACTTGCTAAAAATTCTGGGAAGTATGTGCTTTTCTGTGGAGGTGGGGTTTGGAGGGGAGTTGGGTTGGGCTGGATATCTTTGTAGATGTGGACCACCAAGAGTTGTTGAAAACTAATTTTATTAAATGTCTTTTTTTTTTTTTTTTTTTTTTTTTTTTGATACTGGGGATTGAACTTGGGACCTTGTACTTATGAGGCAGGCAGTGGAACCACTGAGCCACTGAGCTAAATCCCTGGCCCTGTATTAATTAAATGTTTTTTGATAAGCCTTCTGCTAAAAAAGAAAAGAAAATTAGAAAGTCTCACCATTCCAATATAATCTTATTTGTAGTTTATTATCTGTACCAGAAAACTAGCTATTGTTTATAAACTTGTTAAAATTATTTAGTTCCCTTTAATATGAAAATAAAAACAAGTTTTCTTCTGAAATTGAACAAACAGTATGAAGGCATTTACTCTCTACTCCACAACTCTCAAAATTATTATTTTTTTGTTTATTTTTTGTTTGTTTGTTTTGCTTTGTTTTTTGGTACCGGGGATCAAACTTGGGTCCTTGTGCTTGCAAGGCAGGCGGCAGAACCACTGAGCTAAATCCCCGGCCCTCAAAATTCTTATTGAATGGCTGGCAAATGTAAATACCTGGTAAGCAGATATGGATATTCACATTCTTATATGCTTTAGACTATAAACACATCTCATCTGTAAGAGCCACTGATTGAGTCGTAGTACTAGTAGCCTTCATAAGAAGTACTACCTAGCATTATTCAGATTTTGCATGTGGGACTATTTGCTGAGAGCACTTACAAAGGGTACTAAGAGAGATAGCTTTAATTATCTTAAAGAGTATTTATCTTGAGACATGTAATGTTAAGTGACTTGTTTCATTTTTTGCTGTAGTACACTAAGCCAAAATGTCTTTGTTACAGTTTATGTCTGGATGTCTCCCCAAAGCCTGGTATGCTCAAAGGTGGGGCTTTGGAAAGATAACTGGATTGTGGGAACATTATAGCTAAATATGTTGTTAGGAGAAGGGAAGGCCTGCTTGAAAGAGGTGGATGAGTGAGGAGATGGCCTGGAAGAATGCATCTCTGCTTCCTGGCTGCCATGAAGTGAACAGCTTTCTCTGCTAGCCTGTGCTATGCCATCTTGCTTTAGAGCCTGCTTACTATGAACTGAAACGTGAGCCAAAATAAACCTCTTCTTTAATTTATGTATATTGGGTATTTTGTCCCAGCAATGAGGAAAGTGACTAGGACATTCTTTAAAAGTTTTCATCAGTTGGGCATGGTGTCTTACCTTTGTTGTGTCAGCTGTTTGGGAAGCTGAGGCAGGAGGATTGAAAGAGATAGCCTGGACAATAATGGAGACACTGTCACAAAATAAAAAATAAGGGCTGAAGCATCCTGGCCTAATATTTGTGGGGCTCTGTGTTTAGTCTCTTAATACTGAAATTAGAAAAAAAAAATCCTTTTGTAAGTCATTAAGCTGGCTGTGGTGGTGCACACTGTGATCTCAGCGTGAAAGGCTGAGGCAAGAGAATGACTGTGAGTTCAAAGCCAGCCTGAACTATGATATGAGACCTTGTCTCAAAAAAAAAGTCATTAATACTGATGTGAAATATAATCAGGTTAAGTAGAATTTTAATTCAGCTGTAGTGATGCAGGGTTACTTTGAGAGTGGTATAATACTGTTATTCCCTATTAACACTTAGTAAATTCTTTATTCTGAAGTAAAAAGAATAATACTGGGCCAGGGATTTATCTCAGTGGTTCCGTTGCCTGCCTCACAAGCACAAGGACCAGAGTTCGATCCCTGGTACCAAAAAAAAAGTAATAATAATAATAATAATAATAACATTTTTCAGACTATTAAAGAAAAAAAATGGTAATATTGAGTGAACGAACCCAGGGCCTTTTCACTGAGCTACATTCCCAATCTTCTAAAATTTATTTATTTTTTATTATTTTATTTATTTTTTTGATATTGGGGATTGAACTCAGAACCTTGTGCTTCCAAAGGCAGGTCGTGGAACCACTGCGCTAAATCCCCAGCCCTTTATTTTTAGTTTTTTGAAACAGAGTCTTGCCAGATTGCCAGGTTGGGCCCAAACTTTCTATCCTCTTAGCCTCCCAGAGTCCTAGGACTATGGGAATGCACCATCGTGCCTGGCCAAAAAAAAAAATACACACACACACACACACACACACA